AACAGGTCTCAGTCCTTCACAAACACACCTGAACAGGTCTCAGTCCTTCACAAACACACCTGAACAGGTCTCAGTCCTTCACAGACAAACAGCCATTCACTCCTTTAAAAGTTATCAGCTTGAGTACCTGGAGAAAACTCACCTGTGCACAGGTAGAACATGTAAACTCCACAMAGAAAGTCCAGGAGGCGAACCTGTGACCTCCTCTCTGAGAGGCGACAGCTTCAACCACTTCACCACCATGCTGCTAAAAATACCAAAACATCTGGGACGTAATAATCCTTTAAATCAAATCTAAAAATAAAATTCAGATTTTTTAAATATTTAATTTTTATTTTATGGATCTGTGAGATATTTTGTGATTAAATGAATTTGATACAGTTTTATAGTTTGTGGTGAGTTATTCATTTATTTAACAAAGAATCAATAAGTCTTTATTTAGTTGTAGTATTTATAACTCATTGTTATAAATATATTATTAGAGGTATGACATCATACCCGGGCCTGGACCAGGCTCACTGTGGAAGCTTTGCTGGAAGGAAGAAGGGGTCTACATGCAGACAGGGGGGCACCGAGCTGTTAAAACCTTTATATGTGTTTAAATAAAGATCTGGACCTGATCCCAGTCCAACAGGTTTGTTTCTTCAGACCAGAAATCAGAACCTTTAATGATGTGTGGGTCTTCATCACCTGCTGACAGGTGGGTGGTCATGGTGGTCCTGTGTGTGTTTGTCTCATGGGTTGTCATCCTCAGTTCATCTTTGGCTCTTCCAGGCAGAGGAAGAGTGATGAAGATGAAGAAGAAACATGAAAAAGCAGCGTTCTGATTGGCTGCAGAGCCTGAAAGCAGCTTTTTGTTGGATGGATGTGATGATGAGGAGATGATCACATGATGAAGGTCACACGGCTGTCAYACTCCTGCTGAATTAACCCTCACAYCCAAAATCTTTGCTTCTTTGTTTTCTTGTTACCAAAACTGAAATTCTYATTCAAAAACTGGAAATAAAACATGTTTCTGTTAAAATCTCCTGTAAAGGTGATAAACTTTCAGTCAGACAGGAAGGAACCAC